TGCGCCGAAGCACATGGCATCTTCTACAATACTTCCCCCCAGAGAGGAGGCGAGTGAAACAAAAAGAAAGTAAAGGTGGAAGAAGAAATTACAAAAATGAGCAACAACAATAATAATGATAATAGAAGAAGAGGAAAGAGCTATCATAACAATAATAATAAGAATAATATTAAATATATTCCTTTTCAATGATAATAATAATGAAGCAACATACCAGTGTATAATAATTGAGTTGCTACAGAAACTTGACATGTTGAACTGTATGAGTTACGTTGGTATTCGAGCAAGTACCGTTGGTCTCCGAACAAATAGTGTTGGTATCCAAACAAGTACTGTTGGTCTCTGAATAAGTAATGTCCAAGGAAGAATAAGCAGTAGGAGTATGAAGAGATGAGTCACAATAGTTTGAGAGGAATGAGGAAAAGGGATATGTTGTAAAGAGAGAATAAGACAGCTGAGAGTAGAGTGCATGTTGTGGAGTGTTTCCATGAGTGAGAGAGTAAATGTAGGCTGACAGTGGGTCGTTGTGGCCAGAATATACTTGTCTGACAGTGAGTCATCAGGAGAGGGTTTACAGCTCGCCTGACAGTAATGAGCCAGAAGGAGAATGAGAGTACGTGAGTTAGAGTACATCGAAAGGAGCGTGTGGACTAGAAAACTGTTCCAGCACACATCCAATGGCTGCTTGTCTTTATAACCCAAGCAGTAAGTCGCTGGGCCGTCTGGGTCACCAATGTCACAAATATGTGTAACTTTATCAATGTATCATGAAATAAATGTCAAGAGACAAAGATTGAAGAAGATATGAGTAACATTGGAACAGAGGGATAGAAGAGGACATGACAGCTACAGCATGGGTACTCCACTGTCTCTAATGGGCATGTGTCGAAACACATGGCATCCACTACACCAGGAACTGTAAAAATTGGTTGCCCTAAAAGCCCTTCATACGTATCATGGTACTGCACACTTCACAAACTGCTTGTCGTAAAATCATGTCCCATTACTTGTGGTGAGCATGATGATGAGCAGACGTGTGACAAAGTAACAGAGATGCCAATGGCAATGATATTGTCGAAGTGAATAACAAGAAGAAACACATTATATCAGGTTTCTCAATTTATTTCTTAGCTATGTGTATGTTACAATACATAACAGGTTACTTGGTTAGGAAAAGAGTTATCTCAAACAACTTGGGAGTTAGGGACTTCTCTTCCTGTTCATATTGTGGAGGATTTTGAAAGCAACATTTCTTATAATATTGAAATAAAGGATGCCACAGCTGCTGGACACGAAATACATACTTTGACGTCATCATGTGATACATGTGCACAGCCACAAAAAAAAAATGACTTTGATGAGACACCAGCAATGTAAGTTATTACAATAAAAGCTGTGGTAAGTAAATTTTGTTTTCTTATGATTTAGAGCAGCATTTGAGAATGAAGGAAAATTGCAATGCAATACAGAAAAAGATAAGAAAAAGCTGAACCGTATCACAGCAGGTTTGTAGATTTTAATTGTTTACAGAATAAACAATTAGCAAAACTTATAGTTATAACTGCAACATCTATATCTTGTGCATTTAGAGTAAACGGCCCGTGTTCGGACACGCACAATTTTCAGACGCTCTTTCTCAGCTTTGACAGAGCTTTGCAGTTTTCTCTTACTATCATCTGATAGATCTATGATAACTGTTTGGCACACATCATTATCAAAACAGATCGACTCTGTATGCTAACAACAGGTGCTCTCAAAATCAAATTTTGGACGGGCATATTTTTGGACAAAAATTCCTTTCAACAGACCTTGGTTGCCATTTCCAAAAAAACTGGGAGCTTTACCATTCTAATTGCATCATCACATGCACCCATCACTTCGCTATTATAGCAGCAAATTTCAGAGCTCTATCTCTTATCTTCTTTAAAATATCATCACTACTATTCATGTAGGTGTAAAGGGCAATGTTCGGACACATTATTCAGACGCCTAGTGAAAAATATAGTTTAGACTATTCATATCAGCTAATTTAACACTAAAATCTGCTGGGGAGTTGCAGAAAGAGTTTGCTTTGGTTCTACGCTCTAAGTTTCTTTTATAAGTTTGTTGAATTAAGATAGCTAAACGCTAGCTAGATAGGCCTACCTATACAAACTATTGCACATGTTCATTGCCATTGTTTGGACCATTTGTCATTAATTGTCAATTTTGTAAGTTTTGTCTTTTTCATATTTCTCTTGCATTGCTTAGAGCATAGATAGGAGCCTTAAAAAATACTACGTGAGTTTATTTTAGTATTATACCTCACCTTTGATCTGTTTTTCATCATTTAGATTTATAGTGATAAAGTCACAGCTTGACTGGGTTATTTATGATTATACACGCCTACTGGCTACCTTTGGTCACTGTTTTCATGTAAATATGTTATAAATAGAATGATAGATCTACCTTTAAGCCTATTTATAGGCATTTAGTAATTTAGTTTACTAGTATTGTCAGTACTAAGTTACGGTTTAATTAGTACATTGGGTTAATGTTTAATTGAGAAAATTAAAATACATATTATTATGAAAATTGTGATTATTATTAAGCGGTCATAGTTATTAATTTTATTGAAAAATGCTCTGTTTTGCTTGTAGTACGTCAGCTATTCCACTTTGTAATCGTGTTTTTCACTCAAGAACTGCTTATGTGAGAAGTGCTCCTGCAACGGTTCCTGTTTGTGATACATATTGTCCTGAGAAGTATAAAACATGGAATATTCATACTTTAAAAAGAGCATGTGAAGCTGTGCATAATGGAAGTAGTATTAGAAGAACAGCAGAGGAGTATAACATCCCTCGTTCAACTTTACATGACTACGTTACTTGTAGAATCACATTTGGAGCCAAAACTGGAGCAAAAGCTTACCTATCAGAACTGGAAGATGAACTAGTAGCGTTTCTCATGGGGATGTCATCTTTTTGGATATTCGCGCACAATAAGACAAGTAGTTGATCTTGTTC